CCCCCCCCCCCCAAAAAATGTCTTGAAAAGCTATTAAAACCATTTAAAATCAGCTAGACAATCTCTCAAGAATTACTTTTCCTACTGAATTTGCTTATGTACTGTTACATAACAGACAAAAACAACGGGAATGCACCACTGAAATGCTCCAAATGAAAGGTTTAGGGTAGAGCTTGAATTGTTAATTTTGACTTTTTTCTTCACTGACCTGGCGGCAGAGGATGGTCTACTTTCCGGTCCTCCCTTTGCACCTTTCACGGACATCCTGGCCAGAAGATAAAAGAAAATGTCAAAAGGGAAGAGAGGGAAAAGACACAAATATCATAATGTAAAGGCAAAAGCTCCAAAAGAGCTTTCTAAAATAATGAAGAAAAGGCTTGTTGGGCTCACACAAAGCAACAAACAACCAAACAAAACCTGATATTAAACACTAAAGTCTTCATGAACTGGCTTTTTCAAATGCAAGGTAGAGACAAGCTAAAAGGGCTGTCTTAGCTGCTAAAGTTGCAGTAACAAAAATGAGCACAGGGCTGGATATTACACACCGCATCACAGCATTAATCACATTTATAGAAATCTATTTAATTCAACTATTGAGCCAGAGGGAAGAGGAGTCACTCAAACCCAGTTTTAAACGTTAGTAATAGCAAAACTTGCAGGGGTGGGGGCTCAGCTGAAATAGGTAGGGACCAGTTTGAGTTTGAATGCAATCACAGCGTATATACCCAAACAGCAGAACAAAAAACATGGACCACAGGACAGTGTGGATGGAAATGTCAGTACAGCAACAGAAGAAGATGGCGAACAGAAAAATGAAAGGAAAGGGAGTGTATGACAGTAGCATGTGCAGAACTCATGAGGGAGGAGGAGGAGAAACTTATGGCTTTCAATTTGAGAGAAAGATTAATGTTCTGTCACGAGCCTCGGCAGTTCTGAGTATCAGCGCCTGATGATGAACGGCCGTACTTGACACTGATGCGCCGTAAACCCAACGCCTCACACCACCAGCACGCACGCCACGAAGCTGCTGCAAAGACAGACCCTCAAGATCTGCTCCAACAGTCACTACTTCAGGCGGCCCCGGACCACGAGGGCTGTAATGAGAAGAGACACGAAGACCAGCCAGTCGTCTAAATTATGTTGGACCGTTTAATGCACCTCGGCAAAAAACAAGCCACATTCCCAGCTCCAGCTGGGTGGAACAAAACGTGCCATGACTGAGTAGTGATTGCCTGTCTGTCATGCTTTCGCACAATCAGTGTGCTTACGATACGTCCTGATTGCAACACGCTTGAAGCATATTAAACTGTACGAATGGAGAGGGGAGGAACTTTTAATGTCCACCCACAATTACAGTTTTGGAATTGAAGTGGTCAGAAGTTATTTTATCTATACACTGATTTATTTATTTATTTATTTATTTACATGCATACTGAAAAAAGTTTGCAGTGTTTGCAAAACCTTGCAATAATGCAAGCACACACATATACACAGCGTCTCTGCCGCTTTCCCAAACATTCACGCTGCACTTGTGGGGAAAGCAGGATATCTGGACTTTCTATAGTAATGGCCTCGCATTGTTTGCCTAAAGAATTGCTCTCGTCTTCAGTGAGCACAACTCCCATCAGAGTAAACAAACACAGCCACACTCGCATGCACACCCTGTACCCGTTTCACTACACAAGCCGTTGAGCAGCGCTTTGTGTCTGCAGCACTCCTCCCTAAGTGGCCAATTGCTGTCAATCACTGAGCCGACACAAGCAATTTTAGATCCTAATCATTCTAATTGAAGTAATGAAATGGAGGGCCAGGTGGACTAGACGAAACCAACACAACAAACACAGCTGACGATGGAAAGCAAGCTGCACTTGAGTTCTGCAATGATGTGGAAGACGACGAATGGGCCAGCCTGGGGTGTTGGGAGTTAAACACTAAATAGGGATTCTAAATATACTCCACAAGAGCCACTGGAGTGAAGGACGCTGAGACACATTGTATATGTCATGCAAACGTGACCCACATTGAGTGCATACATACTGAAAAGGAAGGTTTTCAGAGAACTCTAGGCGCTCCTGTGAAACCTACACACAGTGCTAGGACAAAGTATTTGCCCCCTTCCTGATTTCTTAGGTTTTTTTGCTTATTAATGCCACTTAGGCTATGTTCACACTGCAGGCAAAAGTGCATCAAATCCGATTTTTTTTGACCCTATGCGACCCATATCCGATCATGCTATGACAGTGTGAACGGCACAAATCCGATATTTTCAAATCCGATCTGGGTCACTTTTGTATGTGGTACTGAATCCGATACATATCCGATGTTTTAGAAAGCGACTGCTGTTTGAACGGTCATGTCACATTAAATCCGTCTTTTACGTCACTGACACAAGACAGACGGCAATTATCAGCGGCGGAGAAGTGCCCGAGAAGACATCGCGAACGCTTCCTGGCCATCCAGCGTAGATGTCAGTGAAACTGTTGGGAAGACAACGTTGGAGAAACGTGAGCATGTTATTTGTACAGATTCTGACAGAAATCTGCAACTATCCTTTGAAGCACCACTCCTCTAAAACAGCAATAAGGATAATTATTAGGTTATCTACATTATTATGTAAATAACAAAATAACTTAACACAAAAATTGGGAAACGTAAAGTCCGAAGTCTTTATATTAAGGGCCATCAGTCAAACAATATAGTTTGCTCTGGGTCTAAACAGAGCGCGTTGTGTGTGACGTCTTCTTTTGCGTATGCGGGCCGCTTTGAGCGTTCACACTAGAGCGCGTTTGCTGTCGCATTTTATTTGTAGTGTGAACAAGCAGACAAAAAAATCGGATTTTGATCAAAAAATCGAAATTGAGCATTAAGACCTGCAGTGTGAACGTAGCCCAAGATGATTCAGATCATCAAATAAGTTCTGATATTTGAGAAAGATAACCGATTAAATATAAAATGCAGTTTTTAAATGAGGATTTCACTTATTCAGGGAGAAAAGCTATCCAATTGCCATTGTTACAACATTAACTAGCTGGCATTAACCACATTTTTTTTTTTTTTTTAGAAAGCTGAGTTTAGTTTTACTAGCGACACTCAGGCCTGATTATTGCCAACTCTGCTGAATCAAAAAATCTGTTAAACAGAACCTGACTGACAGAGTGATGCCGGCTGAAATATCTCAAAAAGCAACACATCATGCCACGATTTAAAGAAACTCAAGAACACAGGCAAAACAACGTCAGTGACATCTATCAGCCTGGAAAGGTTACAAAGCCATTTCTAAAGCCACTGATGATTCATCCAAGAGATCACAAAAGAACCCAGAACAACGTCTAAAGAGCTGCAGACCTCACTTAGTAAGTGTTCATGGGTGCTGCTGCCTGTCTGCTAGGTACTGCCTCTACTGTTGCCATACAGCCATTCAAGACATTTGTTCTTTAATCTTGGGTGAGTAAACCATTTTCACCATCCATTATCTATTATTTAATTTATATCAATATGTTAGCACTAAATATCCCTGTCCGTGGATTATAGTAAATAAAGTCTATACACCTTAGCTAGCAATTTAGCACTTATGGCTACTTCTGCGTCTGAAAAACTGCAGTGGCCTTTATGCTCAACTCCAGACTTCAGAAATATAGTGGTGTCGTATTGGCTATTTCTCTCTTTTATGAGTGTAGCAGATATTCTTATTTGGGGGGAATATTTGAAGCGTGTTGAATTCTTGTTAACATCTGACACATACTAGGCTACAAAGACTATGAGAAGTTAAAAGTTCCCAAAGCCTTTGATTTGGGAAAAGCAGACCACCACACCGCTTAAACATTGTATTATTTTTCTTAAAGGATCAAAAGCAGAGCAGCAGAATCAAAGATAAAGTTTTCTCTTAGGGTACTGCTAGTGGCTAACGTAGCCTTAAGCTAACAGCTTCAAGCAAAGATGAAGAGTTAAAGAAACTCTGCTACACTCACTTCTTTTATATCCTTTGTAAAAATTGAAGTCTTTACACCCAGACTGAAGACTGAACTGTTTGGACGAGAATTTCTTAGCCAGCTATCCTGGGTCATGCTGAGGTTAAGGTTGTGACATCGGGCAGGAAGCAAAGTACAAGCAAGGATGCTAGTGTGCGACAGGGCGCTTTAGACAAGAACTTAAAATTTCCCCATAAAATACTATTAAAGAACATTAAATTAAAACCAAATTTATGCCTACAGTTAGGGAAATTGTTTGAGTGGTTTTCAAGGTATTTCTTAACTAAAAAGAAAATTGAAACAAAAATGAACCTTTCTGGCATGCATAACAGAAAGTATCAGAGTCACAAAAAACACACATTGATTGTGAGTTCAGGCGTGGCTTCACCTTCCTGTGTACTCTCCTTGTTTTCTTTTATTTTTCGCATTATCTTTCCGTTCGCCTGCTGTCCAGTCGGAAGAAAGTCGGTCCCAGAGGAGCCAAACCAGTCCGTGTCTGATCCATAAACAACCGATAGAAATGCAATCAGGCCTGGCACTCCATCTTATCTTCACCCATCTTAACACTTCACCACCACTTTCTCATCCTCACATCCCTCCTTCCCTATCCAGCACTGATTTCATGTCACGGCTCTAAAATGAGACTGTCGCCTTTGGTCTCTGTGCAGACAGGATAACAGAGGGTGAGAAAGAGATACGTTTTCATGTTTTCCCTGTCATTTGGGGAATTTCTCCCCATTGCTTTGTATATAATTCGAGTCTAATTACAAGCTCTCGCTGCCTGTTTTTCTGGAGGCCAGCCTGATAATCACACAGCGAGCTGCTCTGAATAAGTCAGCTGATGCAATTGCATTGTAGCAAGCAACAGGGGCACAAATGGTGAACCAAAACAAATGAAAACAGAGGCCTGGCCATCTGCTGGCTTGTACAGCAAAGCTCAGGATCCATATAATCAAATATTACAAAGCAGAGAGGAAATGCTTGTCAGTTTCATTAGCCAGTGTGAGCAGGCTGCCTCAGACGTTCTCCATGCAATGCCTGCTCCCTACAAATGAACTACAGCCAGTGGTCGTCGTTCTGAATTATTGAACACTTAACTATAAATTATTATTATATATAAAAACAGCAAAAGAAGCTAGAAGAAAAGAATATGATATTCCTTCTACTTACCCTGACTGTTCTTCTTGTTTGTCTTGGATAGCAGATGTGGATGAAGGGCATGTGTACAGTCTTAGCTAACCTGAGGATTATATAATGAAAGGTGATTATCTGGCTAAATATGTCTGGATTAGGTAGATAGATCTAACCGGTCGCCTCTGTTCTCAAGAACAAAAAGGGCAGTGACATTGTGTTCCTGCAGATTTGCCATTTTCTGTGTTTTGATCAGTTTATATTTCATTTCCGTGCAGTTTGGTGAGAAAAACTTTAGATTCAAGATGCAAAGATCAACCATTCTGTTCTGTTCTGTCCCTCTCTATATATATTTCATGGCATCACATCCATGCACAGGGTCCATATCACTGTCCAGGAGAAACAAACAATCTGAGCCTGAATAACAACACACTGAAACGGAAAAGCGGTGCTTCTATCGGCAGGTGTAAGTCACGAATTGCACAACAGGCATCAACAGACTGACAGATGAAACAAAAGGGATACGTTCAGAGAGCTCTGGTTAGTGTTTGAAGACAATAGACCAAATAATTCTTGACATCTAAATCGTTCATAATTTACTGGACAAAGACACAGTTTATGTAGTTTTAAGTTCTGTACACCACTACAGCTCCTTTCAAATTTAACAATTAATATTTGATTGAAGTGCAGACTTTCAGCAATAACACTTTTCATCATTTGGCTATTAATACACGCAACATGCAGAATTTTTTGTCGTTTTGGCTGTAAAATTACAAAATAATTCTGATCTTTCAGGAACAATTTGAATTTTCTCTCTCTAATTGGTTGAGGTGTTATTGTAAGGTGAAGTATTCATGGTAAGATCTAGACTGAGCAGATTTTTCTGTCTGTGCTCAGTCAGCAGTAGCTTGTGAATGCTTTGTGCTATCATTATGCACGATGCATGATAATAACCCCCCAAATGCTAGTCTCCTCTTCTTTCCAAAATCATTAGATTTTTGTCTCTAACACAAACAGTAACAAAGTTAGGTTCATTTAATGAGAACTTGTAAAAATTGATCCACTGCTGCGCCATTGGTCAAAAAAGGGTCAGTTGGTAGAAAATATACACAACCTCCCACTGTCAAAACCTGTCAGTTCAGATTAGACTTCCATCCATCCATTTCCTGCTGCTATCTAGTTCAGTCTTACAGGGAAGTAAGTAGGTACACTCTGTCTGTTGACCTGTCCAGATACACTCTGCAACAACCTGTTGCAAAGCCAACACAAAGAGACAGACAATTTCGAGTCACTGGTTAACCCACAAACTGCATGTGGGATGAAGCCAGAGTACTGTTCTGTGTGCAAACCCCCCACACAAAGGCCAGATGGTGGATTTAAAACAAGGTCCTTCTTGCTGTGAGCTGTGTTAACCATCATCAACATGCTGCTCCAAGATTAGAAAAGAAATTGATAAAACGGCCTGTCGAGATGAAACCAAGATGAACTTGTGCCAAAATGATGGGAAGAGTTATGTGCTAAACTTGATGGAGGCCATGTTACAACATGAGCATGTATAGCTATCAGTGGAACTGGGCCACTAGTGTTTATTGATTATGTGACTGCTGATGATAGAAGTAGCAGGATAATCAGACAGTGCTTCACAGTGCAAGGGATAATAACCCAGAGGTTTCTCTAGGCTAAGAAATGGTATGGTTGATGACCAAGCCATTCACCTGATCTCAGCCCAACAGAGCACGCTTTTCAGTCATTAAATACAAAACTGAATGCCGTAAAAACCAGAAACAACTGAAGGCAGCAACATTAAAGGCCTTAAAGAGGATCTGAAGGGAGGAAACACAGTGATGTCTGTGATATCAGGCAGTTATTTGCTACAAAGGATTGTCAGGTTAGTTTGATGTGTTGAGTTTTGAGCCTGCCTTTGGGGGCAAACAATGCAAATAACAAATAAGCCTCAGAAGAAAATGCCAAACAAACCCTGAACACAGAGAGTGCACAAACAGTGCAGATGGACAGGACAAAGCAGCCAGAAAAATCTCTAATCACAGAGTCAGATAAACGAGTGTGTGGATAAATTTGTATGTTTAACGTGATTTGTTATGAGTATAACCTCAAAGCAAAGGTGAGAGGTTGAGCTAAAAACCCAAGTGAAACTCAAACTTTGCACATAAGAGTTTACCTTGTCAAGCTGCTGCACATGTAAAATCTGTGGAAATTTTGAAACTCTCTTGATGCAGAGTGTCATAATACTGCAGCTGCTGTTTACTTTTAATGAATTAAATCAAGTATATATATATATATATATATAGTATGTGTGTATATATAGCAGTAAATGTGAAGAATAAGGCTGTTAAGCAGCTAGAGAAAGAACTGGGGGCAAAATGTGAGATTTGAGAGGTTAATTAACTGACAGTTGAAGAAAATGTAGATATCAATTTAAGTAAGTATTTCCCTAAGTAATGAGCTCAGGCGCCGATGCATGGGATGCTAAAAGCTGCCGCTATAATCACAATGGATTCACTTTTTGAAGTGCTGTGAAGATATCTCTGCATTGGCAGCTTAGTGTATAGAGTATATGCTGTGTGTGTGTGTGTGTGTGTGTGTGTGTGTGTGTGTGTGTGTGTGTGTGTGTGTGTGGATGGCACGTACAGTCCTGTTTTTCATCCTTTCATTTCCTAACTAACTGATTTCACAGATTTTCGCGCTGTTAGTTAGTCGGGCACAGAATTTAATGGGCTTTCGGGTCCCCGGGGCTCTCTCCTATTAAACCCTACGCAGTTTATTGACTGCCAAAGTAGCTCAGACACACTGGTTGTTTTTGCTGAAAGTACACCTTAAATTTCACCTGAACCATCTTTAACTTTCTGTGTATGATATTAACTGTCACAAAGAGGGAAAAAAGAGAAAAGGAACATAAATGACACAATTTCAAGCCTCTGGCATCAGATGTGTAAACTTTCCAGATGAACTCTGTTCTTCCTCTCCTTGGCATTTAGCTTTGCTCTGGAGCGGTCAGTTGGTGAACTTTGTCTCACTTCACAGGACAAAGCTGCTGCACGACCCGTGACTCACATAAATGTCACCTCACTTCAAAATGCGCAGAAATGCAAAACAGCCATGCCTCGCCTCTTCAGTGAAAAATTTGTTGTAATTTTACCGAAACCCACCGGTAGAACAACTTTTCATTAATCCCGTAGCCTTGTGTTCCCTGCAAATGGAGAAAAGGCTTTTTGTTGTGCTCAAAGGAAAACAAAAGCTGGAGAGAAAGCATAATCTAATTTTTATGCTTTCTCTCCATTCCTCTCTCCCCCCCTTCATTCCCCTGTTCTTTGCGCGTTGAGGCAGCGCAGCAGTGGGAAACTATTGAAGAACCTATTCCCTGTGCGACCCTCGCCACGCTCAAATATGCTTAGTGCATCCAACCAAAGCCCTTATTTAGCGTTTTGCTTTTTTTTTGTGGAGAAGTAGAAACTTATTTTACCCCTTACCTTCACAGAAACAGACAAGTGAACACAATAATGTGCATTTCATGGTCCACTCAGCTCCCAATGGAGTGTGGACCTTTGAATTGTTGACTTAAGTAGAATCGGCTTTTTTTTCTGTTAGCTTGGTTAGGATGAAGGCAAAGGTGCCGTTAGTGCAGCGTGAAACACCGATGCGGCCATTTTTCACGTTATTGACTTTTAGTGCAAAAAATTTTAGAAATGTCTCTCATCAACTGCACTGCAAATGTTTTAAATTTGCTGTTATTTTTAGAGGGATCTGGAGGACTCGACCAGCTTTTGACATAGCAGTTGACATAATCAGTAGAAAAATCAAATTCACCATCTTCCTTAAAACAGGTTAAGTTGATTAACTGTAACAAAAAAGGAAAATTGTGCTTCAGATTTAAGACACTGTCCACAGCTTATAGTTCGATTCGGTGACAGTTAAACGCTCCCTTAGTTATGCTGCAGTAGTCCTAGGCTGCTGTAGGCTTCCCATGATGCTCTGAGTATTTCTTCCTCACTCACCTTGTTCAACACTCAACACTCTGCTTTTAATCATTACTTATTATCTCTAGCTCTCCCCTCATCCCCAACCGGTCGCATCAGATGGCCACCCCTCCCTGAGTCGGGTTCTGCCTATCTTTCTTCCCGTTAAAGGGGAGTTTTTCCTTCCCACTGTCACTAAGTGTTTGCTTATAGGAGGGCGTTTGATTGTTGGGGTTTTCTCACTATTACTGTAGGATCTTTGAAAAAAAAATAGTGATCAAAAAGTCAAATCAAGAAGCCAGTGAATAGCATTACTTTTAAAAAAAACAAAAACGTAGTCATCTTCTTTGCATATTATAAATTTGATTCGGGTTGTTTGAGGCTGCCACTGATGATGGGAAACTGCTACATCGCTCAGCCAAAACTGCAAACTACAAACACAACCATCTCAGAACTTCTCTCAGCTTTGAAGCGAGTGAAGGATACTCAGAATACATCAGAAGGTGCAATTCCCACTGCAACAAACAGCCACGAGGTACAAAATGATGCAGATGAGCGAACTGCTGTATGGATCGGAGCTGATGTTGCAAGAGAAACACATTGAATATTTTCTCACCGAACAATACTCCCATTATTTATTTTTTTACTTGGCACATTATTGAGATCGTATTTTCTTCCTCTTTCTGCCACTTGCTTTAGGGATTTTCACAGCGACTACACCGCATCCATAAATCTTCTCTGATGTCTTCTTTTCCTCCTGCCCGGCAGCTCCAATACGTCCACTATCTGCAAACGTCCAAACCATCTCAACCTTGCCTCTCTAACTCTTTATTCCCAAATTTAGTCGTTTCTGATGCAAATTACTAAGAATAATATTAAGAAAGAATTCAGCTGTAAATTGTTGTTATCTGAGCTGAGTGTGTTAACAAATGAGCAAAAGCGAGACGCTAAAGAAGAGAGGCTATTGGAGGGTTTTGTGTTTAATGAAGTATTCACTTATTGTTGACTGATAATGTCCTATCAGGGACTAATTGCCTGCACGGTTGCCTCATTAAACATAGCATGACATCCTGCCACGGGACGCTGGCTGCACACCTCGCTGCAATCGCTGCGATCTCAATAC